TCCCAAATAATCCCTCGTTGCAATGTCTGAAGCCAAAAAGTCGAGTCCGGATCCAATGTCACCAAGCTCTCTCTCTCTTCTCTCGTAGTCTGCTGGTGCAGTGAAGTCAGATAAGGAGAGGGTGAGAGGGAGATGGTGGACTGAGAAGAGGAAGAACTATCTCTCTCTCTGTTACGAGCCAGGTACTAACCTGTGAAGTTGGCGCTGTGCTGCAGGTACCTCGAAGCGGGTAAGTACCTCTGGCTTCCGCCCGATCTCTCTCTCTCTAGTGCTATCCTAGCTATGGCGCCAAGCGCTGGAGACTACAACTACCCACTGCGCCCAGTGCTGAACGCTACTACTACTCCTGCAGCGCTCCCTCCAGAGTGCTGCTCCCGAATCCTAAAGAGTATTGCCTCCTGCCTGCCTGTGAAGTGCATGGGAAGTCCCCATGTACTACCTCGGCCTGCCTCCTGACTGCCTAAAGGGCGAGCCAGGCCGAGGAGGCTGCTCTTGCCAATGCCGAAGTGTGCCAGGGGCTGAAACCCTGGTTCGGTGCCTGAGTTTTAGGGCCGGTCGTTCTGATGAACGACCGAAAATGGCCCTTCGTTTCAGGCTAAAAAGGCTATTGCCATTTTTAGTCTGAAACGACACAGGGACTGTAGGCCCCTGTTTTCAGGCTTTCGGGCTGAACAGTCACGGGGCCTGTAGGCCCCTGGTTTTCAGGCTTTTAGCGTGAATTTCAGGCTTTCAGCCTGAAGGACGCAGGGCCTGGAAAATGACCCTCATGTGCAGGCGCAGCATGTAACACTAGGCTAGGGCAAGGGCAGATCAGACATCAGGAATTGGGGTCGAGGGGAGGGTGGACTGGGTTCAAGGGTGTGTGTAGAACATGGTTGCGAGGTTGTAGCAGGGTTTATGCAGGGGTTTAGGGTTGTAGTTACGTAGGTGTCTAGGACATAGGAGAAGCATGATCATAGGTGCAGACAAGTTTCATGGCATTCTTGAGATTCGAGAGAGGTTCCCATGTAGATTCTTCGTCGGGGTATCCAGTCCATTTGACTTTGTATTCAGTGATTGGTTCCGGGAGGTCAGATACGTAAGTAGTTCGTCGACCTATGATCGCTTCAACAATGAATTCAGGGCCTATGGGTAACATGATAGGCGGAGGTCTAAGATATGGGCGGTCAGCCAATTGGTGTGGGGATTCATGATATTCTTTCAAGTATTCGACGTGGAAGACCGGGTGGACGCGGGGGGGGAGGTGGAGTTTGTAGTTGGCGTCGGAGGTTTTTTCAATGATGTGGAAGGTCTGAGTCATTTGTTCGAGAGTTTCTTTGGCAATCCATGTTCGGGTTCAAAGCGTTTGGCAGAGAGCCAAACTTTGTCCCCTACTTTGAATTGCAAGTCTCGTCTGTGTTTGTTGATCTTGTTTGCTTGTTGTTCTTGTGTTCTTTCGAGGGCTTCAGTTGCTTCTTTGAGGAGTCGATTCATTGTCATTGAGGGAAGGGCAGGTTGTGGAGGGGTTGAGTTGGGAGGGAAGCATGAAATGAGAGGGCAAGCGCGGATGGTAGCCAAGGTCAAGGTAAAATGGAGACATGACAGTGGAAGGACAAACAACGTTGTTGTAGGCGATCTCGGCGGCGGTGAGCAACTGATCCTAGTCGTGTTGATGTGGATGAATGTACTTCCGTAGGATTCTTTGGAGAGTATCGTTCATCTTCTCGGTTTGTCCATCGGTCTATGGGTGGAATGCAGTGCTATGCTTGAGTGTAGTCTCGTAGGCGTTGAAGAGTTGTTTCCAGAACTGTGAGAGGAAACGGGAATCGCGGTCGCTGATGATATTCTCGGGCAGGCCGTGCTGGCGTGCAACATGGTCGAAGAAGAGTAAGGTGATGTCTTTGGCGGTGTGCGAGGTGGTGCAAGGGATGAAGTGGGTGCGTTTGATCAGGCGGCAGACAATGACGTAGATGCAATCATGCCCGCGGTCGGTCTTAGGGAGGCCGCACACGAAGTCCATGGAAATGGACTGCCACCGGTGAGTGGGGATGGGCAATGATTGGAGCTTGCCGGGTTTGGCCCGGTTCGAGGGATTGACAGCCTGACACGTGGGACATGCGCGAATGTATGTTTCGACGTCGGCTAGTAGAGACGACCAATAGAAGTAGCGGGAGATGGTGTCGAACGCTTTCTGGAAACCGAGGTGACCTGCGGTCTTGGCGTCGTGGTGGTCGGCCAAGAGCTGAGTACGGAGACCACGTGTGTCAGGGATGCACAGTCGGCGAGTGCCTTTGGTGTCGATGTGGAGGAGGTTGTCGTGGAGGGAGTAGTCGGGGACTGGGTCAAGATCGCGGAGCTTGTTGTAAATGGCGGCGAAGTTTGGGCAAGAGAGGTAGCCTTGGGTGTATCGGTGATGGAGAGTGATGGGAGGAGTTGGATGTGGGTCATGGCGGCGTAGACTTTCTCGGGGGCCTTGTGGTCGGGTCGTCGAGAGAGGGCATCAGCAACGCGGTTGCTTTTACCGGGGGTATGGCAAATGGTGAATGTGAACTGGGCAAGGAAGTCGAGCCATCRAGCTTGGCGTGGGGTGATGTCTTTCTTGGTGAGGATGGAAGAAACGATGGTGTTGTCAGTGCGGATGGTGAAGTATTGCCCGTCGAGGTACAGGCGCTAGACTGTGAGGGCGTGAATCACGGCGATGAGTTCCTTCTTGTTGGAGGGGTAATTCATCTCCGCGGGAAGGAGCTTCTTGCTTGCGAAGGCGATGGGGTATTCGTCGGGTGGAGCCTCGGGGTGAGTGGGCGAGTCCTTGATGGAGGGGGTCTCGACGGTGTTGCGGGGGAAATGTTGGGACAATGCGGCGCTCCAATGGCGAAGTCGGAGGCATCAGTGGTGACATAGAAATGGCGAGTGGGGTCGGTGATCTTGAGGACAGGGGCCGTGGTGATGGTTTGCTTGAGAAAGTCGAAAGCGTGTTGGCGGCGATTGTTCCAATTGAAGGGCTCGTCCTTGCGTGTGAGTTCGTGGAGAGGGTAAGAGATCTCGAAAAAGTTGCGAATGAACAGGTGGTAATAGTTGGCAAGGTCGAGGAAGGAAAGGCTGTCTCTTATACACATCTAGATGTGTATAAGAGACAGGCGTAGGGTCTTGGGAGGTGGATACTCGACGAGGGCTGTGACCTTCGAGGGGTCCATACGGATGCCTTCAGCGGAGACAATGTGGCCAAGGTATTCGACGCTCGAAGCGGCAAACATACATTTGTTGAGCTTGGCGTAGAATTTTTGCTCTCGGAGGATTGAGAGGACTTGGCGAATGTGCTGAAGGTGGGACTCGAAGGTGGGGCTAAAGATGAGGATGTCATCAAGGTACACGACGACACAGACTTCGAGGAGGTCACGGAAGATGTGGTTCATGGTGGACTGGAATGTGGCGGAGGCATTGGTGAGTCTGAAAGGCATTATGAGGAACTCGTAGTGCCCGAACCGAGAGCGGAATGCGGTCTTGTGGGTGTCCTCCTCGCGGATACGGATCTGGTGGAAGCCACTGCGGAGGTCGATCTTGGTGAAATATTTGGCTCCACGGAGGCGATCAAGAAGTTCAGATATCCGGGGGAGTGGGTACTTGTTCTTGATCGTGATCCGGTTCAAGGCACAGTAGTCTGTGCACATGCGGAGTTTCGAGGTACCGTTCTTCTTGACGAAGAGATAACTGGTTCCGAAGGGGGAGGAGCTAGGCTTAATGAATCCTTTTTCAAGGAGTTCATTGAGCTGGCGCTTCATTTCTTTGGCCTCGGGGACGGAGAGTTGGTACAGAGGGCGGCAAGGAGGAGAATGACCGGGCTCGAGATCAATGGTGTGGGATACACCTCGATCGGGAGGTAAGCCGGTGGGCAAGGACTCGAGGAAGATGTCCTTGAATTCAGAGAGGAGAGCGATAATGTGAGGATCGGAAGGGGGGATTTGGTCGGGTTTATCCGTTGGAAGCAAGTCCTTGGGACGCTTGTGGTCGATAACAAGACAAGAGTAAGCGGAGTCGGGGTGTTCACAAGATATGTGAAGGAACTGGTGAGGGAAGACAGTGGGTGGGGTAGAAAGGGGGAGAAGGTAAGGGATATCAAGAGGAGAGTCAGGAGGGGGGGTGAGTCGGATGGAGGAGGGGTGGAAGGAGTAGGGCATGAAACGGTCAAGCCATGGAGTCCCCAAGACGATGTCGCACATGAGGTGCATGACATCGAAGGAGACCTGACTGCGAAGAGGACCGACAGTCATGAGGGTCTCGGGGACAGTGTGATCGACAACGATGGCTGAGTTCTTATCCCCGTCGAATGGTGATCGGGGAGTCATAGCCGGTGGAAGAGAGGCCGGTTTTGTAGACACAGGCTTCGGCGATGAAGTTGTCGGTGGCACCAATATGGAGGGCCCGAAACTTCACCGTCGATGTGCCAAGGGAGACGACGATAAACTTGAGCTGAAACTATGCGGTTCCGGCACAAGCAGAAGAGATCATGGTGTTGAGGCGGCGTTGTTCCAAGCCTAATCTAACAAGCCGATCGTGTCGTGCTTGTTATTCAACGAGATCGGAGAAGGTGGTAGAGAAAGGGTTAGGGATGAGAGTAGAAGAGCAGGTGCCAGTGGGAAGCTCGACCGGCGGGATAGCAGACGTCGTTGGGAGGGGGGCAGGCAGAGTAGACTGCGTCGCTAGGGGGTCGTCCGATGGGATGTGTGTCGTCGGAGGGGGGGTAGGCAAACGGATAGTCGATGCCAAGTGGGCCACCGGTGGAGGAGAGATCGTCACCGATGGGAGAGCCAACAGACAAGTGGTCGATGTCGGGGGAGGATTGCAAGAGACAGGGGGACAGTGTTCAGGTGGAGGAGGGCCCGACTGTCGCGGTGGAGGAAGAAGTGGGAGTAGAAGGGCCGGGTCCCGCGGAGCGAGGGGGCTGTCGAGTAAAGCGGCTAGCGTTGGGGCAGTTGGTCTGTTGGTGACCTAACTGACGACAGCGAAAACACCAGTTGTGTTCCTGGAGGTATATGCGTTCTGCAGGTGTAAATTTCTGGAGACGGCGGGGTGGAGAGGAAGAAGGTGGTCGGGAGGCGCGATCCGGCCGTTCCATCCGCATAAGGTGGGCGACCTGGAGGTCTCAATGGTGAATTGGGAGGGGTCGAGAGGTGGGTGGAGTGGTGTCGTCAGGGGTGATGTTATGGAAGAAACGGGGGCAGGAGGGAGCGGGCGCGGACTAGTGATGGGGGTGGAGGAGTGGATTGTGGTGAAGCATGCGAGAGAGGAGGTTAGCAAGGGGCGTGTCGGGTTCGTGGGCGAGGGCGGTCGCAAGATCTTTGTGGCATACTCGCTTGATGCGGGAGATAAACGCAAAGTCGGGAATGACGGTAGTGGGGAGGTGATGGCGGAGGGAGCGGATGTATTGGACGAAGTGGTCCGTGGGACCGGTCTGGCGGAGGTGGCAGAATTGTTCGAGGTAGTCATCGATGGTTTTCTGGGGGCGGAAGGTGGGAGTGAGAAGGTTGGCCCATTGGAGGAAGGAGTGACGCGGTCCTCCGGAGGCATGGCGGTTGCTGACTTCGGCCATCCACCATTTGGCAGCATTGCCGAGGAGGTGGGAGGTGGCAATGGGAAGCCAGTAGACAAGGGGCATGTGGTGGAGCTTGAAAGAGTTCTGGAGCTGGGTAAACAAGAGGAAAACGTCCTCGAGGGGAAGACCGGAGAAGGGCATGATGTCGGCGGATCGGAAGGAACGAGGGATTTCCCCTTCGCGGGAAACGATCCGGGCGAGGGTGTTGAAGTTAAAGTTATCGGGGGTAGTGTCGTAGCAGGTGTAATCGAATTGGCTGTTGTCGTCAAGGAGGTAGTTGGGGGGAAGTTGTGGCATTGCGGGGTAAGCCCCGGAGGTGACTTGGGAATAGGTGGGACGGGGGGTGGGGATGGTGGAGGTCGTCATGATGGGTTGTGATATTGTATGGGAGTGCGGGGGGGGGGAAGAGGGGTGACGTGGTTAGGCGAGGAATGAGGCGGTGTGTTGGAAGCGTCGGATGAAGGGGGGGAAGGGTGGAGGAGGCAGAGGTGGTGGATGTGGTGGTAGAGGTAGAAGGAGTGGATGAGGTCGGCGGGGGGTGTGGCTGGAGGCGACTATGGACGGGGGAGTGGGGGTGGTGACCACCTGGATGGAGGGGTTAGTGGTTTGGGACTCGAGGGCGGTGGATGTGGGCACGGTCGTAGAGGTGGGTGTCGTGGTCGTGACCACTGTGATTGCCATGGTTTGATGCTCGATAAAGGTCACACGGTTGGATAGGCCAGAGATATTGGTTTCGATTTTGGTGATGGACGCACGGATGTCCGTTTGGAAAGAGGACATCATGCGAATGAGGGTGGCGATATCGGTGGCAACGGGCCCAGATCTTTGTTCGCCCGTTAAGTTCGCGAGCGAGGCTGTCAACAGATTGGGTGTTGACGGCGGTCATATCGATGCTGGAGGATTGGGCCATGTTGGGGGAAGATGGAGTGGATGTGGTGGATGTGGTGGCTGAGGCGACAAGTGCAGATGAGGTGGAGGCAGACGAGGCGGCAGCGGCGGCGGCTGCGCGCTGAGAGTTCTTGCTTCGGCGTGGCATGCGGAGATTTGGGAGTGGCAGGGGGTGGGGGTGGGGAGGGTATCTACAACATTAACTGATTTATTCAAAAATAAATAAAGGTATTTGCCAAAACAAAAAATGCATAAAATGGGAATTAATTCAAAATATTTTTTTTCGATTTGGAGTAATTGCGAGGATTTGGGTCCTCGGCAGGCCTAAGGGCCCCCGGTTACAGTGATGCCCGCCCTAAGTGAAGGCGGGCCTAATTTATCACAAGAGGCCTTTGACTGTCAATTTCATATTTGGGTGGCGCCAGTTGGTTGAGTGAAACACAGGCCGAGCAACCAGGACATTTCTACGGCCTTCTGGGCCTTTCCGCAGCATGCAGGCCCTGGACGAGAAACGCGGCCTCATACACTGACAGTTGGGAGGCCCAACCGAAAGAGGCCCAGTAGCTGCAAAGTAGCACGCAACATCTTGGGGCCTACCGGAAGCTTCTGGGCCCTGGCCAAGTCCAGCCAGGCTGCGAAGCAAGCAGGCTCTTTCCATATTGGAAAGAGCTCGCCACTTTCAGCCTCGTTCAGGCACTCGCATGCTAGCGGCAGCACTGCTGGAGCAAGGGCTCGTGGGCTGCTGCTGGCGCTGAGAGGCGAGGTGCAGCGCGTGCGGTCGTGCAGGGAAGAAGGGCGCTGTTGAGGGCAGTGCCATAGCCCAACCACCATAGCTGGTGGGCTTGGACTACAGTGAGGCACATGAGTGGTCTTCCGGTGTAAGGGAGGAAGACGTGGGTGTAAAGTCAGGGAAGGGTGAAGGATGATGATGATGATGATGTGAGGACTCATACCTTGTATTGGCGATGGTCTGCATTTGGGCGACATCGTCAAGTACTTCGGGTTGCGCTGATGTCAACAGTTGCATTGTCTATTAGTAGGCTGATCGTAGCTGTGTAGGAGTAGGTTGGGCGCTGAGCGCCAAGTAGGAGTGTGAAGGGACTGGACTCTTGTGTTGTTGGCAGAGAGAGAAAACTCTCCTTGACATTGGTTTTCAGTACTACGGACCTCCATTGGTGTATTATTGGTGCAATGCTGCTCTCTGGACACGGTGTGACTATCTGGCTTTCAATGTGATGGTGTAATCTGGAATTGTCATCTCACTGTTGCTTATTTTCCTTGCAATTTTGTATCGGAGCTGGTTCATATTGCGCTTCATTGGTTCTTCGCAATAGCTGTTCGGTGCTTCGCATGAGGTGTGGGGCAGTGATAAGGCTTGGGCGTTGAACATAAGGCGGCCCTGGGTCGTGTGGGCGCGCCAGGAAGCTATGTGGTGACATACGGGGTGTATGCTGGATGATGAGAGTACACTGATGTGACATATTAAGCCGAGGTGGAACTGCATTCTGCTGTTGGTTGTGCCGAGGCAAGGACCGGTCATCATAAATGCACATCAGGTTGCCAGTGAAAAATTTGTGGTTGGGGGCAGCATTATGAGGTACGTTGCTCTCTTCCTTATCTACCCTCTTCATTACTTCTTACCGTGAGGAAGTGAGTCTTGTCTTGAGATTCCTCTCGATGTGAGGTGTCGCAAGCGCTCAACCTTGAGAGTCGACATTCTTCCTGGGCAGCAAGCTGGTGGGAGACGGGCGAAGCCTCTGAAGGGCCCTGGACGAAGCACTCGGGTCACGGTCACCATGCCAACCCGCTGGGACTAGTACACACATGCTTTGCCGCAAGTCCTTGGTTCTGTTGCTTGCGCAATAGAGGTCATGCAGGGCATGCCAACCCTTTGAACAGACGCTTACCCGACCGTCTTTAAATATTTCTGGCGGCGACTCCGTGTTGATTGTGGCTGTGATTGTCATCCTGTCTGCGACGTTAAATAATTTCGGAGGAGTTACGGGGGATCTCCTTAAATGCCTCCTGATCAGCCAGATCAAACCGGGTGTGTGGCTCGTTGCATGCGAGGGTAAATAATGTGCAGGGGCTGGCAGGTTCAGCGTTGACTTGGGGCACAGGGGTGGGCCAGATTGCACACCTTCAGACACACGAAGTGACAACTCGAGAAGGATACAGGGGGAGGGGGGATTCCGGTGACTGTTCACAGTGGCAATCATTAGACAATCTGCCATCCAGTATACATCTCCAACAGGAGATATATTTTTATTTTTGATTATCTAGTTGTTACAGACTTGACTAACAACTGACAGACAGCGGCAAACAGATTAGTCCTTTGATGCATTGCAATCTGTTCTAGGGTAATCTAAAAATAGATGTGATATTTCCTGTAGGATCTGACATTAGTTGTTACTACATCACCTCACTGTTTCTGTTCAGGCCGACCGAAGTTAGTTGTGATTTGTAATCGGTTGTGTGTCAGGCTAAGGTAGGGTTCAGTGTGGATTCTAGTTTAGATCACACACACTGTAGCTCATGAGTGATGCAAGCACTAGTGAGGAGTTGTTAGTGGACGACCGTAGGACTACTCGTGGAGCTGCTCGCAGTCGACCTTTGACTTTCCTAAAGTTAGGTCCAGGAGACGAGAGGAGATTGCGGAGAGAGGATAGAGAGAGAGCAGCGGCAAGGAGAGCGAGGGCAGCTGACGATTGTGCGAGGTCTAGAATTCCAGCTAGCACCGGTACAACCATGGCCACTTCATCTACCATGTCGCAAACCTCTTCACAGTCCACTTTGTCAGGAGTTAGTCAGAGTGGTTCTCAGGGGTCCATTAGCCAGAGTGCTAGCTTGCGAGTCGGCCAACAGACTCAACTCACGCCGGAGGATTATGAAATCCTCCAAGCAGAAGAACTTCAGGATGAGCTACAGCGGCAATTTGATGAGGCAGCAGAGAGGAGAAGGAAAGCAATCATGAGGAAAGCTAGACTAGGTAGTAGAAGAGAGGAGCTAGGCAGATTGGAAGCATTAGATGAGTCAGCGCTTGACCTTGCGATACGAGCGCTGCGTAACCCGCTTCTTTGTGTGGCGGAAGCGCAGGCTGTCCAGCAGGAAGTGCTGGCTGAAGTAGTGGCAGGCCAGAAGGAGATTCTGGCTGCACTACGGGCTCCTCGTCCCATGATGAGGCAGCCTCAGTATGCTGTAGTTCCCCCTTCGGGTGCGGGTCCATTAGTGACGCTGCCACCAATAGGGCCTCCATTCTCACCTATGTTTGGCATCCCCCCTCTAGGTGGTTTTGTTGCAACTAGTGGTCCGGTTCATAGAGTCTCAGTCGTACCATCGACGATAGTGGTTACTACAGTCCCACTGTCAAGTCAGGCCCAGGTTAGTGTGCAGCAACCTGTTTCGGTGGCTATGCAGCCACTGCAGCAAGCCCCTGAGCCCATGCAGCCTATGCAGTGGATGCCCAAAATACCCTTGCTGAGTCCTAAGCCCTTCTCCGACGACAGGAAGAAGGAGGAGGATTTGGATACCTGGGTAAGGACGGTGCCTACCTATGTAAGGCACAAACTTACCAGGCCAGAGCAAGAAGTTGTTGTGGCTGCCTCCTTTTCAGAGGGGCCAACAGCCCGTTGGTTGAATGGCCTAGTGCCGCAGCAAGGCTACGGTCAGAACTTCGATGCCTGGGCCTCGGCCCAGACATTGGAAGAATTCGTACAGTCCGTGTACAACAGGTGGCATGACCCTCAAGGGGCTCAAAAGGCTATCGATGCAATCAACAGTCTCTGTGCCAGAAGGTACGAGAATGTTCGAGAGCGGATACCATAGAACGTCTGCTCGTGGTACCTGGTGTGCGCTATGACCAGCAGGTACTCCTCACGGATTATCTTAGATGTCTACCCTCATAGGTAAGGACAAAGTCGAGGCCTATGTCGATCAGCACAACTTCGCTTCATTGAGCAAGAAGGCCTTAGACATAGAGGCAAAGTTGGGATCTGCGCATCAGAGTCAGGGCGATGGTAGGAAGAAGAGACTAACCCAGGACTGGAAAAAAAAAGGTCAACTAATGTTTGTCGACCACAATGGTCAGGCAACAGAAGTTGACGACTTCCCAGACCTTGGGGAAGAGACAGAGCATGATGGGGCCAGTGAGACTTTGGATGGGGGAGTCGTGGCACCTATCAAGGAAAAGGCTAGGGGGACCGGGAAGAAGAAGGTAGTACGGTCCACGGGTCAAGGCGACCAAGGAACACCCGCATGGGTAAAACTTGGTTTAGAGTATGAGGTGTGGAGGGACCGAGTCGCTAGGGGCACTTGCATGAACTGTGGCAATTATGGCCACACGTCCCGAACGTGCCGAGGCAAAAAGGTCGTGACGAGGGTAGCCTCACCAACGGTGGTGGGACTATCTTCGAACTCTGGTGGTGCTTTTGCGAACACTTCGCAGGGAAACACCTCGGGCCAGTAGGAGTTTTAGCCGCTCTTACTTACGATGAAGTGGTAACGTTGCCTTCCCCACTTCAGGCGTTGGCCAAGGCTAGTGACCCCCGTATCGCCCCGCAGACACATTCAGACCCACCGACGTTTGTTCGAGAGATGTGTCTGAGGCTCTAAAAGAGTTTAAGATAGAGTGGTCAGGGAAGGACCTGGGCAATGATCAGTAGAGGTCCAAAGGGTGAACATTTCGTGGTAGAGGTTGATGTAGGTGGCCGCAAGGTTGGCGCCTTCGCAAACATAGGCTCTACACGGAACTTCATCTGTCGTGCTTGTGTGGATAGACTGCGCTTAGGGGACCAAGTGCAGCGGCTTAGCAGAACTGTAGCTTTTACGCTGGCCAACAAGCACTAAATGTTGGTAAAAGACTATGTCAAGGACGTAGTCTGTACCATCTCCTATAGAGGAGGGGAAGTGAGCCATAAAATCTCCTTCCTGGTTAGCGACGAACTGCCCTTTGACATGCTCCTAGGTATGTACTACCTCGAGGTCGCGCAACCGCAATTTGACTGGGATAGAAAGGTGTTAATTCACAAATTGCCCAACGGCGGATCTGTTAGATTGCTGAAGTTTAAAGCTAGCAGTTTGATAGAAAACTACGGGTGCACGTGTGCATCATCTTTTGATAACTACTATAAGCAGAATCGCAAGGAGGGCATGTATCTAGTATTTGTCTTTGAGAAAGGGGAGGCCGTAAAAACACCCCCAAAGATAGAATCAGTCGTCGCTCAGTATTCAGGCCTTTTTGAGGAGCCCACAGGCGTGGTAGAAAGGGAGGTTGTTCATGCAATAGAGGTTGTCCCAGGTAGTAAGGTGCCTAGAGGACGAATCTATAGGATGTCTCCAGCGGAGTTAGATGAGCTCCGCCGCCAGCTCAAGGAGCTCACAGAGAAGGGATGGATTCGACCTAGTACCTCCCCTTACGGCACTCCAGTCCTATTCATACCAAAGAAGGGAGGTACCTTGAGGATGTGCATTGACTATAGGGGCCTCGATGCCATCACCGTTAAGAACGCGGAGCCCCTACCCCGCATCGACGACCTCTTGGATAGAGTGCAGGGATGCAGGTACTTCACCAAGATAGATTTGAAGTCCGGATACCATCACATTGCCATTAGACTTGAGGACCAGCACAAAACGGCATTTCAGACCAGGTACGGTCTGTACGAGTTTGTGGAGATGCCCTTTGGCCTATGCAATGCACCTGGTACGTTCCAACACGCGATGAACATGATTTGTCATGATTACTTAGACAAGTTTATCGTCGTGTACCTCGACGATATTCTTATCTTTAGTAAGCTTGTAGAGGAGCATGCTGAGCACTTGAAAATAGTGTTAGATCTCCTAAGACAGCACCAGTACAAGGTTAACTTGGAGAAATGCGAGTTTGGTCGCACCAAGATCTTGTACTTGGGTCATGAAATCTCAGTTGATGGACTGAGGCCGAATGATGCCAAGGTGGCCAGCAAATGTGACTGGCCCAGACCTCAGACTGTTACTGAGGTCAGATCGTTTTTGGGGATGACGGGCTATTATCATCCGTTGTGAAGAACTATAGTACTATAGCTTCCCCACTAACAAATCTAACTCGAATTGACAGCCCTTGGGAATGGACAGAAGAGTGTGAGTCAGCCTTCAAAAAATTGAAGTATGCTCTAACACACTATGAAGTCCTCAAGCTCCCGGATCCTGACCAACCCTTTGTCGTGACCACAGACGTCAACCAATATGGCATAGGCGCGGTCTTGCGCAAAAGGAGGGGAAAAAGCTTAGACCGATCGAGTATATGAGTTAGAAGATGCCATCCCAAAAACTAGCAAAGTCCACGTACGAGCGTGAGCTCTATGCCCTATCTAGAGCGCTGGTTCATTGGAGACATTTTCTCCTAGGCAGATTCTTCTATGTGAGATCTGACCATGAAACCTTGCGCTGGATCAAGACACAACCCGTGCTCTCTGATGCACTCAAGAGATGGATACAAGTGATAGACATGTATGACTATCAACTTGATCCCATCAAGGGAGAGTACAACAAAGTGGCTGATGCGTTATCTCGCCGGGCAGATTATCTGGGCGTGTTAGTTACTGAATTTGGCATATCTAACGATCTGACTCGATTATTGGGGGCAGCCTATCATCAAGATCCAGTTATGTCTGAGATAATCCGTAGATTTCAAACCAAGGACAAAAGGACTTTGGATGAATATACGATGGTAAACGGCTTGCTGTTTCTGGTGAAGGCAGGGAATAAAAGATTGTGTGTTCCCAGTAGTAAGTCTTTGCGTAGTTTATTTTTAGGCGAATGTCATGATGCAACTGGTCACTTTGGCTACAAAAAGACTTCAGCTAATCTAGTGCAGAAGTTTTGGCGGCCCACTATGATGCAAGATGCAAAAGGTATGTTGAAACCTGCCAGGTTTGTCGAAGGGACAAACCTAGGACTTAGGCTCCGCTTGGGCTTATCAAGCCCTTGTCGATTCCTGAAGGACCTGGTCAGAGTGTGTCCATGGACTTCATGGATACTCTTGTGACCAGTAAGTCTGGCAAAAGGCACATCTTCATAATAGTGGACCGCTTTACTAAGTATGCAAGACTGATCGTTATGCCAGAAACTGCTAAAACAGACTATGCCATCAAATTGTTTCTGGATAACTGGGTCAGAGATTTCGGACTACCTACGTCAATAGTAAGTGACAGGGATGTAAGGTTTACCAACGAACTGTGGCAGTCGACAGTTGAACAGATGGGTACCAAGCTCCAAATGACGTGAGGGAACCACCCTGAGTCAAATGGCCAAGCAGAACAGATGAACTGGGTAGTACAGCACCTGCTTCGGCATTATATTAAGCCAAGTCAGGATGACTGGGACAGAAGTTACCTCTCGTCGCCAGCCTGTACAACAATGTTGTGCACAATACTACTGGGATGACCCCCAACCAGCTGCACCTTGGTTGGAAGCCTAGAACTGCACTTGACTTTCTGCTACCAGAAAGAGAACCCACCGCAACACCTGGCAACATAGAATTTGCTGTCAAATATGAGCAGATGCTGCAGCAGGCCCTTGAACACATGAGGAAGTCTCAGGAGGCTATGATCGCATCCGAGAATAAACACATACGGGCTTCTAACTTTCAGGTAGGCGATCAAGTCTGGGTAAAGTCATCTGAATTGGGTCAGGAGATGGGGATTTCACGAAAATTGATGCCACAGTACTTTGGGCCCTGGGAGATCTTGGACATTATAGGGGATGAACCGGATGGACCCTCATACGTGGTTCGTATTCCTGCGCACTTACGCACTTACCCTGTGTTCCATGCCTCCAAGTTGGCATCTTTCGCAGCCACTGACCAGTTTCCCTCAAGGAGATCAATGCTGTCCCCAACCATGGATGGAGAGGTGGACATCGACGAGATCGTGAAGCATCAAGTGATGCCTGTTCCTCGACCATCAGGCAGAGGGCGCCCTCCTGAACCAAGAATGGAGTATCGTGTGAGATTCAGACATCATCTGGATCCCAAGGAAGATCGCTGGTTCACATGAGAAGAACTCCTGAGAACAGCACCTCAAGTGATTGCAGGTTATGAAAGAGATCTGAAAGGAAAGATGCCTGCAAAATAAGAAGACTTCTCAGAGGACTAACGAAGTAAAGGAGGAGGGAATGCGAGGATTTGGGTCCTCGGCAGGCCTAAGGGGCCTCGGTTACAGTGGTGCCCGCCCTAAGTGAAGGCGGGCCTAATTTATCACAAGAGGCCTTTGACTGTCAATTTCATATTTGGGGTCCAGGCAGTTGCGGCGCGCCAGTTGGTTGAGTGAAACACAGGCCGAGCAAACAGGACATTTCCACGGCCTTCTGGGCCTTTCCGCACCATGCAGGCCCTGGACGAGAAACGCAGCCTCATACACTAACAGTTGGGAGGCCCAATTGAAAGAGGCCCAGTAGTTGCAAGTAGCTTGCAGCATTCTGGGGCCTACCGAAAGCTTCTGGGCCCGGGCCAAGTCCAGCCAGGCTGCGAAGCAGGCAGGCTCTTTCCATATAGGAAAGAGCTCGCCACTTTCAGCCTCATTCAGGCACTGGCATGCTAGCGGCAGCGCTGCTGGAGCAAAGGCTTGTGGGCTGCTGCTGGCGCTGAGAGGCGAGGTGCGGCACGTGCGGTCGTTCAGGGAAGAAGGGCGCTGTTGAGGGCAGCGCCATAGCCCAACCACCATAGCTGGTGGGCTTGGACTACAGTGAGGCGCATGAGTGGTCTTCCGGTGTAAGGGAGGAAGACGTGGGTGTAAAGTCAGGGAAGGGTGAAGGATGATGAAGATGATGATGTGAGGGCTCATACCTTGTATTGGCGATGGTCTGCATTTGGGCGACATCTTCAAGTACTTCGGGTTGTCGCTGATGTCAACAGTTGCATTGTCTATTAGTAGGCTGATCGTAGTTGTGTAGGAGTAGGCTGGGCGCTGAGCACCAAGTAGGAGTGTGAAGGGATTAGACTCTTGTGTTGTTGGCAGAGAGAGAAAACTCTCCTTGACATTGGTTTTCAGTACTACGAACCTCCATTGGTGTATTATTGGTGCAATGCTGCTCTCTAGACACGGTGTGACTATCTGGCTTTCAATGTGATGGTGTAATCTGGAATTGTCATCTCGTTGTTGCTTATTTTCCTTGCATAATTTATTCGAGATTAATTTGAAAATTCGGAAAGGATTTCGCGGGAGAAAAGTTGGAAACACGAAATTTTCAGGCATGAAATAAATGCTGAAAATATTGAAAAAAAGATAATTAATTTAAAAAAATAAATTCTGGTTAAATTTATTCGAAATTAAATTTGGGGTATGAAAAGCGTGAAATTTCAAAAGGATTTAAGTAAAATATTCTCGTTCGAGAATTTCGAAAGAGAATTTATTAAAATAGAAAAGATAAAAGGGCCTTTTACTTGATTCAGACCCTGAATAACGAATGCAGCATAATGGGGTCACTCGGCCAGAACCCAACTCATGAAAAGCCGATCAAAAGGCATGTTCTCTGGGTCAAAAATCACATCCTAACTAAAGCAAAAGTCATGTCAAAGGTCATGGTTGTACCCCTGGACGAACAAATGCAGTATTCAATTGTGGGAGACACATCTGTTCAAGAGGGAGATGTGTTTGTTCGTGCAGTGCATGTGTCTGTTCAAGCAATAGGTGTGTCTGTTCGGACTGAAGTTGTGTCTGTTCAGAGGGAAGTCAAAGATCAGGTCCCAGTCCAGTCAAAGTCTAACATGAGGTCTAGGTTCAGAACCCAAGTCCAAAATTCAGGCCTGAAGGCCGCAGCAGCAGCAGACCCTGAAGGAAAAGGTACTGGGACACACACTGCAGAGGTCTAGGACAAGGAAGACCCAAGTGTGCCAATGCAGGCCTCGCGAAGGGAGGCCAGCAGTATAAGAAACCAAGCCAGCCTCCCCACACAACAGATCTCCAGTGGCATTGTTGTGTGGAAGTGCTGAAGGCACTTGTGCGCCAGCATGCCAGCATGCTGGGGAAGCGCTGGCAGAAGAAGCTGCGCAAGAGGGAGAAGGAGGCAGATGCAGCCATAACTGCGCCAGCATGTTAGTAGATGTAGAAGGGTTAGAGGTAGTCTTCAGCAAGTAGCATTCAGAGTAGATTCTCATAGTAGGAGTGTGCATGTATGGTGGGACGAGAGGACCAAGACAAGGGATCTTGAGAGAGAAGAGAGAGAGAGAGAGAGAGAGAGAGAGAGAGAGGGGCAGGTTCCTGACTTGGCCATGGTGGATACTTACCTATTCTGCGCTGAATTGTCATATGGAGGAGGCGCTGGTAGAGCCAGCCCCCTGTGTCGTTGATGAACGAGAGGGAGACTTGTGAAGTTGTGATACTATTCGACGCTTTGCTCTTGAACTCGAGATACTCTTTATAATGTTGTTGTGATAATATAAGTTGCGCTACCTTGGTTCTCATCCCAACTCGACTTTGCTTTGTGTGAATCTTCATAATATGTGTGAATGATATCTTGGCATGCAATGTGATACACTCTGGCAAGTTGTGGACAATCAGGTCCCTTGCAAATTTGGTATCGGAGCAGTGACTTGTTGCACTCACTGCGCTGGCATGAGCAAGGCCGGCGAGAGGAATTTCGCTGGCTTGATGATGATGCTGGCAATGGTGGAGGAATGAGAAAAGTGGATTGGGATAGGAGAGAGAAGTAGGCCGAAGTGGAAGGGGCTAAGGAGGACTTACCTGCGCAAGGAGCGTGGAGTGCAGAGCGACGAGGAGTCTTCATCGACAGCTGCAAAAGAGAGAAGAAACCCTCATCCCCTTACCTGGCTGCATGAGTGTGTGTGTTGTACCTCTACTTCTCCTCCTCTCTGGTGGTCGCTGCTGCTGCTGTCTGGTCACGTCAGAGTTAAGAATGGTCAGAGTCCTTGTCTGGTCCTCTCTTCTACCCCTCTGGTTTGATATATGTAGGAGGTAGCAAAGGTAGGAGACGCTGGTTGGTGGTGGTAGATCGCCACGTCAGGATGCAAACACGACATAAGGCATAATCAACTGGGCAGTGATAATCTGTGTAATCAAAGTATTGACTAGGCATCTGACATAGTGTACACTCCA